TAATTTATCGAAACAGTTTCACGTTCGTTGCAATTTGATCTATTTTTCGTTAGCAAATTTGAGACTGAGGCGAGTGAGATGTTAGATCCGAGATCTAGGAATTCAAGTGATTGAAATGATGCAGTTGATAATTCAGCTTTTCCTGCTCGTATTATTTTGAAGAAATTTCAATAGTCCTATAATTTTACTGATCCTTCGATATTGACACAAATGAAATGCACTATCTATTCATCCAACTATCTATTCGTTCCTCTTAAATCCCACTGTAAAACAATTTTCCCCCCTATTAGATCCCCTTCTCACGTACTCATTTCGGCTCATTTCAACTTAGTACATCGTTTCCCTCCATAATAACCTTCACTTAAAACCTCACCTCCCACCACGGGAATCCCCTTTCTAGGTTAACCAGCATTAATGGCGCGAAATTTAAATTCAAAGCGATTTAGAACAACGTCGTAATGGCACTTTCTGGTCACTTTTCGTGCAGCAAGCGGATACTGCAAGCGGAACCGAGTCACGTACTAGCAAGACAAATCTCCAACGGCCAACTATTTCACTGGCCCGTAAATCGAGAGGCTGCTCTCGAGAGCAAACGAACCATCCCGCATTGGAACTTACGTGTCCCTGTGGTTCCAGGCGTCCGCCGTAAGATGGCTTTCAATTACGCCGAGCAAGAAAAACAAATCGCTCTATTTGCTTCGACACGTTCGGTAAACGTGGATCGATGCAGGCCAAGCTTCCAGTAATTTGCCCGCACGACTAACCGGACAAATTAATCGACACGGTACGCGAACAATTACACGACACCGAGTCGAAGGGGAATCGCTTTGATACGACCTGACCGGCTGAAACTCATGGGAATTCCCGCGGTGCAGTTGGCAACGCGTCGACAAGATCGGCCTCTAACGATCGGGAATTAATTTGATTCCCATTTGACATGCTTGCGAAGAATGAGACTGAATTTCTGTTTTTTTTTTTTTATTTTTTTAGAAAGGCATTGGACAGAGGAAATGGATATAACGTTTATACGGTCGATAGATATTTTCAGTCTGAGTTAGTTTACAGGGTGTTTCATGTTTTGCGTTT